TATGTAGTACATGGAGCACCATTAGACCACAAAAAAAAAACAATGGTGAACTAACACCTCTTATATTCCCTGGATGGCGGAGCTGGAGCTCATTCTCCAAAGTGAAGTATCACAAGAATGGAAAAACAAGCACCAAAATGTAACTCCACCATCAAATTGCTACTAATTGATCAACACTTAATGATGCACTTCACAGAAGTAACATTCATCAGTTGATTTGACGTGGGGAGGAGGGGATGGTAATATAACACACCTAATGGGTCAAAGCACCGTCTGGGGATGGACACTCCTGAAGCTCTGACTTGGGTGAAGCAAGGCAAAGTATACATAACCTAAACATTTGTATCCTAGTAATATTCTGAAATAAAAAATATTAAAAAGGTGGATACAAACTTTAAATGTAGACATGAAACCATAAAAATTCTAAGAAAAAAATGTTCAAACAACTCTTCTAGATTATTGTCCTAAGGCAAATAATATCTATGAAGACTTCCAATGGCAATCACAAGCATAACGGAAAATAAATATAATGGGACTTAATTAAACTAAAAATCTTCCACACAGATAAAATAATGAGAAGGGAAAAATAGAAAATGTACAGAATGGAGAAAATCTTTGGAAGGTACATATCCAATAAAGGATCTATAACCAATTACAAAGAACTCAAGAGAAATCAGCAAGATAAAAAAAACAAGACAGATTAAACTTGGACAAAGGTACAGGAAACAGAAGCTTTGCAAAGAGGATCATACCAATGGCCAATAAACATATGAAAGACAATTCTCAATGTCACTAATCATCAGGGAAATGCAAATTCAAACCACAATGAGATATTACCTTGCCCCCCAGTTAGATTGGCTTTATTAAATATTCCAGATACGAAACAGATGCTGGAGTGAATGTAGAGAGAAAATAACTTGCTTATACCACTGTTGGGGATACTAAAAAACCTCTATGGAAAACTGTATAAGGATATTCCTCAAAGAACTTAAAAAATATACCTACCATTTTGGTCTAGCTATCCAACTACTGGATATTTACCAAAAGAAAACAAGTTAATTTCATTTAAAAAATCCCTAATACATGAACATTTTTGAAGCCTCCAATCATAATTGCAATGATGTGGAATTAATCCATGTTCCCTTGAGTTTGTTAGTGGTTAACATAATGTGGTGTAGTGTATAGTCATAGATACCTACTCAGCCATGTAGGAGGATGAATTAAGCCTTTTCCGACCAATTTGGGATGGAACCATGGAGCCTATTATCCTCAAGTTAAATATCTAAGGAATCTAAAAACAACTACCACATGTACTCCATGTTATTAAACTCGGAACTACTGATGAGCATAATGTTGGCATGGCATGGAAGATAAAGACGCCAATGAAAATCAAGCAGCGGTAGAGGAGATGGAGAAGGCAATGGGTGAAAAACCTACCTAACAGGTACAATGAACACCTATATGAGTGATGGCCACACTCATACCCTGTCTCAAGCATAACAAAATCAATATATGTAACCAAAACATTTTGTAATGTAGCTTGTATTATTTTCAAATAATACAAAGATTAGCTCTTGTTGTTGCTTTAATTCTGTTTTGATTGGTGCTACTGACAGAATGAGATTATGTTGGAACAGGTGGAATGTAAAGTTAATAATTCTTTCTCTCTAATATTTGATAAGCTCTGGTATCCCAGCTACCAGGGAGGCTGAGACAGGAGGACTGACTGAACCCAGGAGTTCGAGACCGGCCTGGGAAACATGGCAAGACCTCATCTCAAAAAAAAAAAAAAAAAAATTGTTTAAAATTTAATAATCACAGGTTTAATAACTTTTTTAACACTTACTGTACATTTTCATGAGTAGTAATTAAGACATGTTGAAAATTTAAATGTGAAAGATTTCCAAGTTTCAATGTTAGTATTACTCTGTAAATGTTCTCAGTATATACAAACACTTATAAATTACAGATACGACTAGTTATATATCTACAATACACATATGAATACCACTCTCCTTCCTTAGCCATATTGATATGAGGATAAAGTAATAAATTTCTGCTATTCAAGGCAAAAAAAAGGGAATGTTTTAAAAATAAATCTTTAAAGAACAGTTTCAAAAATAAAGTTCAGATATTGCACAAAATAATTTAACTGTAAATATTACTACATACTGTAAAACAACCTTAAAAAAATTTGTACTGTATAGTAAATCCCCCATTTTCTAATTCTATAAAAGCATTTATTGGAAGTCTACGTTTAGATCGTAAATGTTTACATTCAGTGTGATGGGAACTCGGCTTCCACAGGCTAGCTGAGCCTCTGTCTTAGCAGCTCGTCTATCTGAGTCTTGTACATGTTTTTTACATCTTCAAGATCCAATCGGAGCTCTTCTGCCTCTTCCGCTTTTTCTCCATACATCTGCAGAATAGTGTTGTATCTTTGATCCAAATCCTGCAAAATGTATTTGTTTACAATTTTTAAAATGAATGCTACAGAACACACTTAACCGCTTCGGTACACGTGTCGTCTATAGCCGACGGCCACAGATGGACGCGCACGTCGACTTTAGCCGAAGAACGGAATCGTATAAAACGAATCAAAAGTAATAAAAATCTTAACATAATTTACTCCTTAATAATTATTTGTTCACATTTTGTAAACCCGTATTTTTTGGCAGATTAAAAATGAGTGAATTTAGACCTTTGAAATATTTTGACACATTTTGATACCGAAAGTCATTTAACTGTCTATATTTGCAAATAAAAACCCATTTAATTTTTAGTTAGATTTTAAACACTCGAGAGTATAGCGACAAGCGAGCCATCTTGAAGAATTTGGAGAGCTTTTCAGGGCAATTCAAGTGACCTCATTTTTGTTCTTCTTGTATTCCAGACAGTATTTCTGTCCTTGGGTTTCTGATTTGAAGCATTAATAAATATTCTTTCAGTGTGAGCCAGATTCATAAAGTTAATTTTCTACATTTTTGTGGTAAAAAACAGTCTAATCGCTTTTTGTCAGCTTGCTGTATTTCTTTTTTTTTTTTTTTTTTTTTGAGACAGAGTCTCGCTTTGTTGTCCAGGCTAGAGTGAGTGCCGTGGCGTCAGCCTAGCTCACAGCAACCTCAAACTCCTGGGCTCGAGCGATCCTTCTGCCTCAGCCTCCTGAGTAGCTGGGACTACAGGCATGCGCCACCATGCCCGGCTAATTTTTTTTTTTATATACTAGTTGGCCAATTAATTTCTTTCCTATTTATAGTAGAGACGGGGTCTCGCTCTTGCTCCAGGCTGGTTTTTGAACTCCTGACCTTGAGCAATCCGCCCGCCTCGGCCTCCCAAGAGCTAGGATTACAGGCGTGAGCCACCGCGCCTGGCTCGCTTGCTGTATTTCTTAAATATTCAGGCGCAGAATGACGAGACTGATAAGCAATAAGAAGTGTACAGAATTAGAAAACACAGTAGTTCCCCCTTATCTGCAGGCCATGTGTTCCAAACCCCCAGTGGATGCCTGGAACCATGGAAAGTTCCAAACCCTGCATATACTATGCTTTTTCATATACGTACATAACTATGGTAAAGTTTGATTTATATATTAGACACAGTAAGAAGTTAACGACAATAGGCCGGGCGCGGTGGCTCACGCCTGTAATCCTAGCTCTCTGGGAGGCCGAGGCGGGCGGATTGCTCGAGGTCAGGAGTTCAAAACCAGCCTGAGCAAGAGCGAGACCCCGTCTCTACTATAAATAGAAATGAATTAATTGGCCAACTAATATAATAGAAAAAGTTAGCCGGGGCCATGGTGGCGCATGCCTGTGTCCCAGCCTACTTGGGAGGCTGAGGCAGGAGGATTGGCTTGAGCCCAGGAGTTTGAGGTTGCTGTGAGCTAGGCCGACGCCACGGCACTCACTCTAGCCTGGGCAACAAAGCGAGACTCTGTCTCAAAAAAAAAAAAAAAAAAAAAAAAAAGAAGTTAACGACAATAATAAAAAATGAGAGAATTTTAACAGTACTTGTATACTGAAATAAAAATCCTGTGAATGTGACTCTCCTTCTCGAAATATCATGTTGTACTCACCTATATTCGCCCTGTGGCTGACCATGGTAACTGAACTACAGGAAGCAAAATGTCCTTACAAGGGCCGGGCAGCTAC